GATCACCCAGTAGCTCCAAAATCTTCTCGGACGACCAAGGAGACCAGGGAGATTCCCGGGCGTGAATGTGAGCACTCCTGCGCATCTCCTTGGCGGAGACGGGGCAACACTCAACGTCTGAGTCAGAAACATGCAAACTCTGAAACTCGGAGTGAGACATGTCTGCTACATGATCAGAATGATGAAACGTCAGAATCTGAAAGCAGCAAAGCAGGTGTGTAAGTCAAGTCATTTTAAAGACAGGTGGAAGCTTGTGATTGGTCAGAGTAATGGGTGACATAGCATTGGAGTCTCCCTGGCAAAACTTGCGCTAAAGCTTTCACTTCCATATTTTACTGATGTTAGCTGTTTTTATTGGCCATCCTACACTGTGCAGAAAATAAATTTGTCATTGTATGACACAGTCTCATGTCAATTTTGATATAATTTCATTGTGTGTGTCTGTCTTATAGATGGATGAATATATAATGCAGTATGGTTGGAAAATCTATTGTACATTGTAAATCTATGTAAGAGTTATATTAATACTGTTTAAAACATTAATAAAATCATTTGAAGTTGATGCATTAAAACATTTCTTTTTTAAAAAAGTCCAAAGTTTGATTGGGGTGTGCAGAGCGAACATATGCTCAGTGCAGTCTAATCTTATGTGGGTCTGTCAGTATTCTTTAATTTCATTCGTGATTGGATAGATTTATGTGTCCTTTGTTCAGAGTCTTTTGTGATAGGTTCCCGGGCAGAGGGGTGGGCAGAGGGGCAGAATTGGGACGTTTGTAAGAAAAAACTGAGAGTAGAGAGCGCTCAGGCACAGCAGGAATGCAACATTTATGCTGTATAATAACTTTACTAAGGTGTATTTTCATACCCTAGCCTTCAGTTTGAGAGTTAGTGAGCTTAAACTACATTGCAAGTGGGTTTGCTCGCACATTGGTTTGGCTGGAGAAGCCAAGTACAAGTTCACCAGTCACTACCATCGAGAGACTGTTGCCATTAAGAATATCAAGATGGCGCCCACTGCGGCAGACGTCTTTGTGTGTTCCTCCTGCAACCAACGCTATTTATTATTTATTTTAACTTTAGTATTTATTTTAAATGTACAGTATACCTACGGAACAGTTAGTTACAGTACAGAAGCATTCCTGGAGATCGGTAAAGTTCGTCATGAACTTACCTTTATCTCAAGGCCCAGCAGCACCGGCCTCGGGTGAGCGGCGCAGCCGACGAACAGAGCGGCCAAAGCGGAAGTGGGGCAAGAGAGGTGGCATACATACAGGGCTGTGCCTCGACCGCACTTGGGACAGTCCGACCACATTTCTGTGTTCCTCTATCCAGCATACACACGACTTCTCAAGCAAGCACTTACAGTGAGTAAAACTATCAAAGTGTGGAATATAGAAACTGATCTAGTGCTTCAAGACTGTTTTGACAGTACAAACTGGGATGTGTTCAGAGCTGCTGCTGTGGGAGAGGACTGTACTGTTGATCTAGAGGACTGTGCTTCTGGGGTAACGGGCTACATCAGCAGCTGCATTGAAACCATTGTTCCGACAAAGCACTGCAGAAAATACCCCAACCAGAAACGCTGGATAAGCGGTGAAGTTCGGTCCATGCTACGTGCTCGCCATGCTGCATTTCTCTCAGGCAACGCTGAAGACTACCAAAGGTCCAGATATTACCTGCGTAGATATATCAGAGAGGCCAAGAGCAACCAAACTGGGATGCATCTGTAAAAATCAGATTGCTATCGCATGTCAGAGCACCTCCAAATGGTTTTAGCTGTTCAAACTATCAAAAATCAATCTAGATACAATCTGATTATGCCAAAAATTGTATTTGGGTCTGAACATAGCCTTACAGAGCAGTTGGCTGACGTAGAAACAGGTGATGTGTAAAAGCAGAGTTTAGCGACTGATTCAGATATTTTAGGTAAACACTGCCAATCTCAGTAATGAAAATTAAAATACCTGCTAAAAGTCCTGTTGACTGGCTGAATAAAACACTGTGAAATGTTGCAGAGGAGGGAGGAATCTTTAGAATTCTCTCCTGGCAGCAGAGGCCTCCTCACCTGCTCTTCCCCAAGTTAAAAACTCACAGGACATATTTATCATTAAAAACAGTGAATTTGACGGAAGCTGACTGTGTGTATGTGGTTTCAATGTCATCTTGCTGGTAATTGCCCCATTTTTAGAATGCACCTGTAATCGGATTACTTTTTTTCCTGTAACTTACTATCTAACTATCTACTATCTTACTAACTAACCCTGTTCAGGAGCTAGAAGACTTGCCTGCTTCTTTCAAATCAACTGAGTGGGAAAATTTCGGTTTTCAAGTGAACTACAACAGCAATGGAGAGTAAGTAGTGGATCGGATGAGGACGGTGTGTTGATGTTGTTCGACAGTTATAGGGTACATTTGTGGAAACACATCAAACATGCGAACTTCATAACTTTATTAGCATATCCAGTGATATTAGCACGATTGCAAACAAAAATAAAAATAATAATAGGGGTGGGAATCTTTAGGCACCTCACGATTCGATTCGATTACGATTCAGAGGGCTGCGATGCGATTGTAAAACAATTATCGATGCATCTCAATGCATCTTTTTTCTCTATACAGGATTTCTATCTTCCTACTGTCTGAGGACTTGGTAGTTTTAAAGCAAAGTATTTGTAATGATCCATAATGTAAATGCATTATGGATCATTACAAATACTTTGCTTTACATATCTAAAATATCTTTTATTAATAAATCAAATGGAAGTGATGTGGCAAGTGAACTAGAGACTGGACGCTGAATCTCGGCTCCAAAGTGTGCAGCGTAGCGCAAAAGCCCTGGTTCTGAACGACTGAGAACAGACAGCAGACAGCAGGTCACATAGCACCGAAGTCTGGCCTCGCCAGTAGCAAACGAAAAAACAGAGATTAAGATGAACATTTGGAGGACTTATTCGCATTTATAAGCGGCGCGGTTGATTAAATCTGCAATGAGAGACTGTCTTTCTCTAAAAAGTTGCGAAAATGAACTCGCTTCTCTTTCGAATTTTCCCGTTCCACCTTAAATGGTGCAGCAGTTACATTCGGTGCCTAAGGCAGATTTTAAGGTGGAACGGGAAAATTAGAACGAGAAGCTGGCGAATGAGAAGCGACTTCACCCTCGTAAAACAGCCGGATGCTGAGACATGTTACAAGAAACTCTTCTAGTTTTGAAGAAAAGTTTTCTGGCGGAGATGGGAGGAAAGCGGCTGTAGCTGAAGCTTAAAGCAGAGCAAAGTAAATCTGCGCTCTCATTTATATTTTTAGCCCATACTAGGACATTAACACATACTGAAACATACTGGACATTCAATGTTGCAGCTCCCAAGGTGATTTGACTTTGTTGAAAGGCAAAATGTCTCTTCTGAACATTTGCGTTGTGACTCCTGACCTAACCTGGCTTTTAATGCAGAGGGAGCCGGTCGGATTTCTCGCTCATCCTGTTGTGTTTTTGTTATGTGCCGTCACAGACTGTCCGGGCGCTGCACCTCCGCACTTCCAGTTCCGCCTTTTGCATTCCGTCAACATTACGTTATAAATTAAATATTTAGAAAATCGATTTTTGACATTTATGAATCGGTTCAGAATCATTCACGTCTGCATCGCGATGCATCTAAGAATCGTTTTTTTCCCGCACACCTAAATAATAATAATAACATGATTCCAACTTCTTATCCCCACTGCATTTAAACAGCCTCTAAATGCAGAAGCAGACAGAGCCAAAAACATTCCCAAGCAGCTGGCTTTTACATTTCATTTGTTGATGCTCTCATATGCAGTGGTAAAGGCTCCCATTGTACCGAACCATTACACCCATGTCTTTACATCTGATAACTTCATCACATGTATATCATTTGGAATATACATTGCTGCACTGCGCCCTCTCATGTTTAGAATCTCGGTCCTTCCTAAACATCTTAAAACCCTCCATATTAAATAGTATTCAACTGGTCCCATGTTTCTCTGACACATCCAGTCTTATTCTGGGTGGAATTCATTAATATTTCAAATTCATGTTTTTTTTGTTTACCAACATACTTGAAGCACACAGATAGGGGTTAGGGAGGAGTTGGGAATCTGTCTTTTCTTGCTGTGTATCCTCTTTTCCTCACACTTCTGCAGCCTGTCATTGTATAGGTTTTGTTTTTCTTACCTCAGATACCATTGCGTGGGTTTGTAATTTTTAGAATTTGATTTTCCACTAGTGTTTTTTTATCTTCAGCCATCAATGAATGTCATTGTCCTTAATTTCCTGAGGAGCCCAGATGAGTAATCTTTGTAGTCTCCATCATGAACTCCAGAAGCTCCAGAAAATAAAACAGCCCAAAAAAAGCAAACCTGATTCTACTTTTGTGCACTTTGCACGTTTCTTGATAAACTGTTTTTTATATCAGTGGTTGGGCCTTGAGTGCTTTACTTCAGATATAAATACAGAGATATATAATTTGTTAGATTTTTCTACATTGTGTATTTCTTTGAGCTGTAAATGTCAATAGTTAGGCCAGTTAGAGAGCACCCTGGTGAGCTCATCCTTGCTGAATGATATAATTGGAAAAGGATTTCTTGCATGGCATTATTTTACATTTTCTTTTTTCCTTCTGAAAATGAAGGATTTATTAGGTAATTAAATGCAAACTTAAGGGAATGTTTTAAGGGACTTTACTGACAGATCCTAGATCAGCACTCCTACTCTGAGAAGCTTTGAGAACAAGGGCCAATGTTGCTGTGCAATTATTAATGAGGAATAATTATTGTGCTACCCATGAGGTCTTCAGATATCATATAAATACATGAGCTATTTGAATGTAAGTGTTGCACACTGCTTAAACCTCTGGTGTGACTTCCAAATTGACTTTTTGGGTTTAAAGTGGGGTTAATCTTTGCTTTATATATTATTGTGTTTGTATGTAAGATTTGCAGAAATGCAAAGCATTGTAAACAGCAGCTTGAGCACAAATTCACTGATGTATACTGTTTTGACGGTGACATTGGTGCAGGTATTGGTGGGGATTTTCCTCTTTGTGAACTGCCTGATAATATTCACCTTTTTGAAAAAGGAGGTGTTCAGGGAGGACACTCGCTACATTTTGTTTGCACAAACCCTATTTGTTGACTCTGCTTTCATGGTTGTAAATGATATGCTGTTGATTTGGTATGGTTATCAGTACCACATCCACATCATTCCTTGTATTATCATCAGTTCAGCAGTGACACTTCTTTACATTTGTACTCCACTGACTCTTGTGGCAATGTGTCTGGAGCGCTATGTTGCTATATGCATGCCTTTAAGACATGCTGACATCTCTACCAGCAGGACAAGATGTTTTGGATTTTTTGTCATATGGGGTATCAGCTCCATAGCTCCATTGTTCACTGTTGTAGCTTATGTCTCAATGATACCATCCGATGCTCTGTTCTCCTATGCTGTGTGTACTGCCGAGGTAATGTTGGGGGAAGAGTGGCTGGCACAAGTACGTGCTTTGATTTTTCAGATCCTTTTCTTTTGTATGATTATTATCATTTTGTTCACCTACATCAAGATAATGATTGCAGCCAGAGCTGCCTCCTCTGACAATAAGAAATCAACCAACAAGAGTCTCAGAACTGTGATACTTCATGCCTTCCAGCTGTTTCTGTGTATGATTCAATTTGTAATACCATATATGGAAATGGCATTTTGGAATGGTGATGTTATGCTGTTTATTAATGTAAGGTATGCTAATTTTGTTGTTTTTATGCTTGTACCACGTTGTCTCAGTCCATTGATTTATGGTCTCAGAGATGAGAAATTTTTCATTGTTTTAAGACATTATGCATGCTGGGGTTTTGATAATCTTTCCCAAACTTTGCCAATTCAAAGCAAATCGAGAGCTGGCTAACTCATTAAATCAGTGTTTATTAGTTTATGTATGATATTTTCCAGTATATGTGTAAGCTAATAAAACTGCTAACCTCCTCACTGTAATCATGGATACATTTTATGTGAAGCAAATTGTGCTTCATTGAGTATCCAGGCTGACTGAATTTTTTGAGATTTGAAGGCCCAGTAATGTTATTCAACACACTAAAATAATACAGCATGAGCAGGCAGTATAAAGGCCTTTTTAGGTGGCGGTCAACAGTCAAACGTCATGGCCTAATGCTTAGGAATACAATTTTTTGTAATCACAGCACAAATGCAAAAATAAGATGAAGAATCATCACTGGTGCATGTGGGTTTAACAGATAGGAGAGCGCAGGGAACAACCTAACATGGGGCACAATTCAACACAGACGCTTTATGTTGTTACACAAGTTCAAGCAGGGTGTGCTTCTGGCACATTTACCATATTTCCTAGCCACGTTCACCCACAAAAATTCTGAGCAATTCATCTGAGTTTGACAGAAATTGTGCCAAAGAGTTTTTTTTGTGTGTAAATCACAAAGTCCAACTGTTTTTAAAGCCTCCAATGTAGCACCTTTTTGAAGCTTGTGACAAGCTTGCACAGCAAGGCTTGAGTACAGCCTCCGTATGGGGCTAGTTGTTACACGCCGTTTCAACTAAGCCACCTTTAGTAAACAAGTAAGTTTTGTCTTTTTGTTTCATATGTTTACACAGATTTTCAAACAAAAAAAAGAAAACATCTGAAAATAGTGATTTTCTTCCACTTTATTAGTCACTGTCAGATGTTATTATTTTGGTTTAAGTATATTAATGAATTTGACATTAACAGTTGGTAAAGCTTTAGTTATTTAGAAGGTGTTCCATATTTTACTTATGTTAGCTGTTTTTATTTGCTGTCCTACACTGCACAAAAAGTACATTTGTCTCTTGTTTTGATATATAATTTGATGTGTGTGCTGTCTGTCTATCTTATAGATTGATTGATGAATGGATGGATGGAAATTAACTGTTTGCACTAATTTATCAGACTTTTCTAGCAAGTGTTACAACTAACCCTCTGTCTATTACTTGAATGAATGTACATGAATGGTAGGACCTAGAGTGTTTGTGTGTAGTAGAGATTACTACATTGCTAAAGCTTGCTCTCAAGCTAGAACATCTTATATTTGGCCCTGAAGCACTAAATTATAATGCATTCAGTAATTTAGCTGGGTATTGCGAAGCTCCCCTGTTCATTCTTGCTTTTTGCTACTGTATCTGATTGATTTATATTGACTTTTATTTTTGTATATGTGTGTATCTGTGTGTGTGTGTGTGTGTGTGTGTGTGTGTGTGTGTGTTTGATAACATACAAACCAAAAGGAAAGAGATAATAAACAGTGGAACAGTGCATTTCCTGACAACAATTACTAAATGTTCATGGTGCACAGTATGGCATTCCATTTCACACTGATTTGAGTAATAGAAAATAGATTTTAACCATAATTTTTTATTGTTTTTAGCAAAAAAGGAAAATCATGAGCAGTGAGAATATCAGAAACAAGGGAAAAAAAAACATATAACCCCCCATCCCAACCAAAACAAGGCCATCCTTATAAAAATGATTTTCATTCTAAAGAGTACTGACCTTTTAAGATAGTATCTATGAGTTCAAGAGGCACTGGAAAAGACTATTATGCCTGGAAGTCTTGAAGGTAAAAGAAGAAGAGGATGTCCAGTAACAAGCACTTAGTATGTAATAGTGCTTAGTGACACCCTTTAACATGTATCACAGCTTTTTACAAACTGTCTTTCATTCACCAGATGTTTAAGATGTTTACCCACAGATTTTCAGCGATGTTCAAGTCAGGAGACTGTGAAGACCATTCCAAAAGCTTCAGCTTGTGTTTCGTAAAGTAGTGCTTAGTAAATTTTGAGGTGTGTTTTAGATGATTGTTCTGTTGTAGAAGCCAACCTCTTTTCAGTACCAGTTTGTTGATTGACTGTGTCACATTTGCATTCAAAATTGCAGAGTTCCTGATAATTAGTGGAATCCATTCTTCCATCTACTCGTGCCACTGGTTGCCATGCAACCCGAAAGCATAATAGATCCACCCAGACAAAGATCTTTTTTAAATAGTTTGCTGCTAGAGGTTGTTTACTTTGAAAATATACTAAATATGTAATTTAATCAGGGGTATATGTGTACTATGCACAAGAAATATCTTTTTTGTCTTACTGTGAGGGCATATCCAAATAAGCAATGACAGAGGACCATTGAGAAACAAAGATGTGAGTGTTGAGTATAATTTTAGTTACTTGACTTAATGTACACATTTAACCCCCTCAGTCTCAAACTAACCCCTCCTAGCCTGCCTAGCCATGTAATGCAAATGACAAGGCCTTGTGCTTTCATCATGCCTGTCTCCACACTGCCAGAATACCCCAGCTTCTAATATGGGGAGCTGGAGCTGTGGAGGGATTTTATGGGTGATTGCCTCTGCTATTTGGCCGAGTCTGAAAAGTCGTTCCAGGCTGAGGAAGCTAAAGTGGCTTTCGTGATTGTTAATATGAGGGCCTGCCACAGACTAGGCAGATCATATGTGACTCACTTATTGGAAAAGTTTGAGTCTCTTCCAGTCTGCTTTTGGCCCACTGCATTTACCCCGGATGTCTCCAGTTCCTGCATCCCAAGCTGCTGGAACACCAGTGTTGGTTTCCTGTGCAGCTGGTGCACCAGATCCCCATGCTAATCCAGTGTTGACTTTCTGAGCTGCTGCTCCTCTCCTAGTGGACCCCTGAGCAGCTCCTGTGCTGGCTTCCCAAGCTGCTCCATGTCCTGTTCTAGTGCAAGTTTTTTGGACAATTCCTTCTGGCTCCCAGAGCTGCGCCAGTGACGACTTTTAGGACTGCTCCTCCTTTGCCAGCTCCCCAGTGCCCCACTCAGCCAGTCCACATTGCTGGTCCTGAGCCTGTCCTCTCTGTTGACCCAGGTGATGAACTGCCCTCCTCTCTTAATTTTCTGCCGGTTGTCACTGTGCATCCTCACAGTCTGGTCCTGCTTTCTGTTCTGTGCTTCTGGAGCCATGCTTTGGTGCGGTGGGGGTTTTGTCACAAACTGCTGGGCCATGTGTTTTGGTTTGTTTTCTTTTCCAGGTCAACCCTGGCTATACTCACTTTTCCATTTCACACACCTGCAGTTGATCCTGGACGTATTAAGACTCCCATATAAACCCATTTTTTGCTGTTGCTTTGCAAAGTTTCTGCACCTGTTTTCTTTGTTAGTAGTTAAAAAACAAAGTATTTAGTGTCACCCCCAGCATCATTTAAACACTGGTATAACCAATGTATTTGTAAGTGGCCACAAAAAATGTGTTTTAATATCCTCATTTAATTTATGAAATATAAAGTACAAAGATAATAATCCAGTTTATTTACAGGCCAATAAATCATTTTAGCAAATAGAAATCGCATTTTAAACTAGAGATTTCACGAGGTAATCATCCTCACGCTGCCCAGTCTAGTCAATTTATATTTTACTGCTGCATGCAATACATATGTTTGTCACCTTGGTACTAAGCCCACCAACAGGACACAGCTGTATGAAATCCGAATTGGTGCACTGGGGATTTACTGGGAAAATTTGTTATCACCACAGAATATAACCCAGTCTTAATCTGATGTAGTCTGTGATCTTAAGATAGTCAGTGAGATCACTTTGCATTCCCCTGTCATTGACCTGTAGTGGGTGATAGAATGTTCCAACTACCAATGTAGACGAAACTGGTTTTGGGAGTCACTTAGAGTGCAACTGAATTATCAGACATTCCAATTCATCTAAGATGTGACAGTCTCTTTGCATGAATATAATTTGTAATATACATCGTCACACTTCCCTCTTTCATTAGGGTCTTTCTAAACATCTGAAAACCCTCAATGGTTAGTAATTCATTTGGAATATTAAACTGGGCCCATGTTTCTCCAACACATCATATTGCATTTTGGGTAGCATTCATTAAGATTTAAAAAAAAATTGTTTTTTTGTTTATTCTATAAGGATCTTGAATTACACAGAGAGAAGTTAGGGAGAAGGTGAGAATCAGCGGGCAGCGGGGCATTGAACCTAGGGTGCTAAAACTGTGTGCGGAGCAACTGTGTGGAATTGTGTGGAAGAAAAAGCAACCGATAGCACTAAATGATTATTGACCTGTTGTACTGACATCCCACTTAATGAAGGCACTTAAAGGCTAATAGTAGCTTATCTGAGACCACTGATCATAACAGCTCTTGACTTCCTGCAGTTTGCATATCAGGATGGCAGTGGAGTGGATGATGCGGTTATCTACCTGCTGGACAGAACATACTCTTAGCTGGACACATCAGGCAGCACTGTGAGGATCATTTTCTTCGATTTTTCCTGTGCATTCAACACCATATACCCCGTGCTATTAGGGGAGAAGCTTTGCGTGATGCAGAAAGATGAATCTATTATCTCATGGATACTAGACCTCAGTATGTGCAACTGTAGGACTGTGTCTCATACAAGGTAGTGTGCAGTGTTGGGGCACCACAGGGGACTCCCCATTCTTGTTCAGCCTGCACACCTCTGACTTCAGGTACAACACAGTCACATCATTTGCAAAAATTCTCTGATTACACGACCATTGTGGGGTGCATGAGGAATGGACAAGGAGGTGTAATACAGGAAGCTGGTGAAGGACTTCGTTGACTGGTGTAAGTTGAACCAGCTGCAACTAAACATCAGTAAGACTAAGGAGATGGTGCTGGACTTTAGGAAGTCCAAACCTGCCTTGCCACCAGTCATAATTGATGGAGTAGATGTAGAGGTGGTAGGGATGTACAAGTACCTGGGTGTGCACTTGGGCAACAAACTGAATTGGAACTGTAACACCCTGAGGCTGATGTCTTTTGGTGTGTACACGAAGCTCCTGTGGACATTCTACTAGTCTGTTGTAGCAAGTGCTTTATTCTACCCTGTTGTATGCTGGGGCAGCA